AATATGGACCAAGTGGCATGAATTCAGAGATACTATTTGGCTAGTCAAACAAGTATGTGCAATTTAAACACTTTATGGCAATCTTAATTTCAGTATATATATCAGTCACAAAGGAAGAAGAACGAGTTAGATCAGAAGCAGACTTCACAACTAATTGAAAACAAAACCACCGACTACTTCTACAAATTGACGTGAGATTGTTTTCGATTGAATCGGAAATTTTAAATTGAACTCTCGATATGTACGTATAGCAACATTAAATGTTGATGGAAAAGTTTATTATTTATAAATTATAATGGTCATACTTCATTTAAATAAAATTGTTTCAAGTGGAAGATTAATTTGTTTAATAAATAAAATAATCTAATTGAAAACTAGCTATAAGTGTAATAAGGACCAGTCTGCATCATTGCTTGGAGCCTTGGACTAGTTATGCTGCGTGGCTGCAGTGTTGCGTGACGTGATTTATTCACCATTTCGTGTCCCTCTCTGTAATTGGTGCAAAGTTCAATGTTTAGTCGTTTGGAAAAAATTCAAATCATAAAATTATGAGTTTTTATACCTCTTATAAATTTGTTACCTAATTATTTTAATTTGACAACGTAATTTTCTTATTCTTATAGTACGCGGCAGTGTTTATGCTTACTTTATATAATTGCTCTTTGTTTCTAGTTTTGGATTCATGTTTTTTTTTCTTCTATAGTGGGTTGGTGGTGTTTGGTTTATGTGTTTGGTTTATATGCATATTTTAAGTAGAGTTAATCACATATACACTGTCAGTGTAAAATTTGTATACACTGACAACTAATTATATCTCTTAATTGTGTTATGTCACTGTTAAAAGTAAATGTGTTAACAGTAACATGATACAATTAAGATATATAATTGGTTGTCAGTGTAAAAAAGTTTTACACTAGTAGTGTATAGATGATTAACTCTTTTAAGTATACCTTACTTTTCTTATTTTATTAGTTGAATTTTATTGAAAAGACAAAATCTGGTTAGTCACACATTTTAATAATTTAATAATTTTTTAATAATTTTATAATTTTTAATAAATTTTAATAAATAAAAGTGTATGTTAAGATGGATGCATTAAAGAGTGTATTATTATTACTCCTCAAATAAATAAAATTAAGTTTCGTTTTGTATGTAGAAAGAGAGATAAAAAAATTACGAAATATTGTGCTGCAGACACATACGTACTGGAATCTCTTTCCACAATATTGGTTTTGATAAATTTTGTTTACTCGGGTAATTAAGTTAAATAGGCTGAAGTGTTCTAATTCATTTGGCTCAACACACCTCGCAACTCTTTTGAAAGAAAAAAAAAGTAAGATGGTAAAATATTATTTAATTATGTTATATGATTCGTTCATCGTGAAGCAAAGGTAGAAATATTAGAAGTAAAAATTTTGTATTTTTAAAATTAAAAACTAATGTCACTACTTTAAAAGATTAAAATTATGGATAAAAAAAAATAGAAACTAAAAATACAACATAATTTATTTTTAAAGGAAATCAATTTTTAATGCGAAAAATTAATTGTTAATTAATATGACCGTCATTTGTTGACAAAACACAATGGCATGGACCAATTATAATTGGTTTGTCGACAAGATCGTGAAATGGAATTTGTAGAGTAGGTGTTTTATTTTATGCAGAAAATATATTTTTATAAAAGAAGAGATGGTTGTTCGTAGGCGTTTGGTTATAATTTAATTTTATTCGTAAACCCTTATATAAAATAAATGTAACACACAATTTAAGTGATAATATTATCCTATTCTTAAAATTAAATAGATATTGATAATATCTTTAAAAGACATTCATTCTAATAATTTTTATTATTAATTAAAATTTATTAAAAATCATATACTTTAAGTCACATCTATCACTAAATTAAAAAGGAAATTCATTAAATTAATGAGACATAAAATTTATTTATTTTTTCTTCACTTTTTTTTTATCTAACTATGGAGAGAAAACTTAATTAAGTTATTTCTCTTTTTATTTATTTTTTTAATTTAAACAGTCTAAAATAACTATTCATTATATTAAGGATAAAGTTTTTTACTCAAATAATACTATTTTAAAAAATTTTATCCAAATAGTAACTGTGCAAATTTATTTCTCCAACTAGCATCATTTACTGTTCATGTTTCGGAACGGACCATTCTGAAATCAGAACGGGGCCATTCCGGATTAAAAAATAACACATGGAAAAAAATCAGAACGGGTCGTTCCAAAATCAAAATTAGCATATAAAAAGTGGAACCAGAACGGCCCGTTCTGCTTTCAGAACGGGTCGTTCTGACCTACAAATAAATATATTTTTTTTCAATTTTTACTTATCAAATACCAAAACTCATAAACTAACATCAAATAATTAAATTTATTGAATATTTACATTATAAATATATCTAAATAAATTTATTAAAATTTAATACAACAATAAAGATCAATGGTGGCAGAAACTGATTATGTTGTTCTTTAATGTCCATCTTTGTTTTATTCTTGCTAGACTTTGGGCGTCCCTTCAAAGCTTTCCAAATTGTCCTTCGTATACCTTTCTGGAACTTGTTGCAATCATACTACATTTCATTTAGTCTTACTGTAAATCTCTCAGCGGGTCAAACATTTCATTTGGAGAGCTCTAACATGAAGATTATTGGTCTACTTGCACTGGTCCAACTTTGTGGCCAAATTCAAAACTCAAGAGAACTTTCAAGGGTCGGCCAAAGTCCAGCAGGATTAAAACAAAGATGGACATTAGAGAACAACATAATCAGTTTCTACCACCATTGATCTTTATTGTTGTATTGAATTTTAATAAATTTATTTAGATATATTTATAATGTTAATATTCAATTAATTTAATTATTTAATGTTAGTTTCTGAGTTTTGGTATTTGATAAGTAAAAATCGAAAAAAAAATTTATTTGTAGGTCAGAACGGCCTATTCTGAAAGCAGAACGGTCTATTCTGAAAGCAGAACGGCCTGTTCTGAAAACAGAACGGGCCGTTCTAGTTTCACTTTTTATGTGCTAATTTTGATTTTAGAACGACCCGTTCTGATTTGTTTTCCATGTGTTATCTTTTAATTCGGAATGGCCCGTTCTGAAACGTGAACAGTAAATGGTGCTAGTTGGAGAAATAAATTTGCACAATTACTATTTACGTATTTTTTTTTTAAATAGTATTATTTAAGTAAAAAAACTCATTAAAGATACTCCTTTTAATAATTGTCTTAATTTCTATTTTTATATGGATCCTTTTGTCCTTTTTTATTTTATCAAACATCTAAACCAGTTATCCTTTTGTGTATCAAAATTTTACTAACAGTATAACTGTTTCTTTAAATTGGTTTCATTTTTATTTTATTTTATCCTTCACAATGAATAATTATGAGACATCACTTTTCTACACATAAAACATTAATTTTTTACTATTCAAAATATATAAAGACACAAAATACCTTAATTTTATTAATATTTGTAATATAAAATTATATATCAATTTAAGTGATTGAATTAGTGACTTACTAATCAAGTTGATCCGTTTGAGTTTTAAATCACTGCCTAGAGAAAGTTTAAACTAAATAGAAATAAAAGTTGTAAAAGAGATAATATTTCTCTATTTTTTCAAAACACTTGTTTTCAAAATATTTTTGAGAACTAATAAAATAACGGCTGATGATAAACACACCTCCACTCTCGTATAAATACACCTCCTTTTTAAAAATATATATATATAATGTCTAAATTACCCTTTAAAAAAAATGGAATTCTTAAATTTACACCTCCCTTCCCCGCACCCCCCTTCCCCGCACCCCACACTCCACACCCCTCTTCTTCCCAAAGCCTCTTTCCGCTCAATGTCATTAAGTAATATACTTTTACAGTCATTCTGAATAGAAAAAAAGGACTAGCCCCACCATAACCAGCATAAGAAAGGCTCTTTTACAATCATTAGCATTCTGGAAAGTACTTTTACAGTCATTAGCATTCCGGAAAGTACTTTCCGGAATAGTAAAATTATTGTTCATATAATTCCGGAAAGAACTTTCCGTAATAGTAACTTTAATATTATGGAAAGTACTTTCCGGAATTATGTAACAAAACATTTCCGGAAAATACTTTCCGGAATAAGAATTTAATATTATGGAAAGTATTTTCCGGAACATTTTTATATAATTCCGGAAAGAACTTTCCGTAACAGTAAGAAGAAGAAGAAGAGGAGTGCCAGAAAGAGAAAGAAGAGGGGTGTGCGAGGTGCGGGAAAAAAGAAGAAGAAGAGGAGTGCCACAAAGAGAAAGAAGAGGGGTGCGCAATGTCAACAGGTGGTCTTGTAAGAGAAAGACTCTTACTTGTTCTATGGAAAGAAACACTAGTACAAAAATGACTTTTAAAATCGGAGTTTTAAAATCAGTCATAAGGTATTCATTTTAAAAAGTGACGCGGTGGCCTGTACTGCAACAGAGCGTCTCCAGAACGGCCCGTTCTGCAAGCAGAACGACCCGTACTGATTTCAGTACGGCCCGTACTGCAAGCAGCACGGCCTGTACTGCAAGCAGCACGGCCTGTACTGCTTGCAGAACGGGACGTATTGCTTGCAGAACGGGACGTTCTGAAAGCAGAACGGGTCGTTCTTCTTGCAGAACGGCCCGTTCTGGTGCCGTTCCAGACTAAAGTTTACATGCAGATACAGGATAAGGGGGGGTGCGGGGAAGGGGGGTGCAGGGAAGGGAGGTATAAATTTAGGAATTTCATTTTTTTTAAAGGGTAATTTAAATATTTTATATATTTTTTTTAAAAAAGGGGTATGTTTATACGAGAGTGGAGGTGTGTTTAACATCTGCCTAAAATAACAGTATTCAAAATAATAACAGTTATTGGGCCAGCCCAGTGCTAGACGGACTCGACACTCACATCGAGCCCAAACACGCGTCCCTCACAAACACGAAAGAAGGAAAGCGAACACGTGTCTGAAAATCGAAAAATTCCCCAAACTTGACACCGCACAAACAAAACAAAAACAAATCAAAAACCCTAACCCAATTTTTCTCTTCTTCCTTCCCCAAATCTAGAATCGGGATTCCCCTTCGATCCCAACACATGGACGACATGGAAGACGACGCCAGGTACCCTCCCAAGTCCTTCTCCCTCATCCGCCAGAACCCCTCCCACCGCCATAAACACCCCCTCCGCGGCGGCGCCGCCTCCTACCACCGCCCACTCCCCCCGCGCTACGAGGAGCCCGACGACTTCGACGACGGAAACGAAGACCCCGACGATTTCGACGACGCGGAGGACGACGAGGAGAACGGGTACGACGGCGCAATGGAGGAAAACGACGTGGCCTATCCCCGGATCCCGAAGAAGCGGAAGGTATCGGTAACGGGTGGAGGAAACTCGTACGAGTTCGCGCCACGTGTGAAATTCTCGTACGGTTCGGGGTCGGGTTCGGAGGAGTGGAACGAGCACGAGACTTTGGTGCTGTTGGAGGTGTGGGGCGAGAAGTTTCTCCAGTTGGGGAGGAACAGTTTGAGGTTAGAGGAATGGAACGAGGTTGCAGAGAAGGTTTCTGAGGAACTGAAAGTTGAGAGAAGCGTGGCGCAGTGTAGAAGCGTGTTGGACAAGCTGAAACGAAGGTACAAGAAGGAGAAGGCGAGAGTGGACGAAATGGGCCTGGGCTCGTGTAAGTGGGCCTTCTTCAAGAAGATGGACATGTTTATGGCTTCCTCCGCACGGCAAGAGTATGGTCTTGCTTGTGGGGTGGATTCTGGGGAGTATGTGTTTATGAACACTAGGGTTTACTTGAACAGGTCCAATGGTTTCGATGAGATGAGGGACAGTCCTGGGGAGTCCGAGAGTGATGAGGATGACGACGACGATTGCGCCGCCGACGACCACCACGCCGATGAGGAGGACCAGACTTCGTTCCGGGCTTTGGCCGATTCTATTCACAAGTTTGGCAAGATATATGAGAAGATTGAGAACAGCAAGAGGCAGCAGATGATGGAGTTGGAGAAGATGAGGCTCGATTTCAACAGGGAGTTGGAGCTGCAGAAGAAGCAGATTCTCGAGAGGGCTCAGGCTGAGATTGCCAAGATACAAGAAGGGGACCAGGAGGTGGAGGAGGAGGAGGAGGACGATACCGACACTTCCGCCGAGAATCTCAGTGAATGAATCATGTAGGTAGCCTTCGTTTGGTTTGCTTGGAAGAGCTTATTTATAGCTTAATTCATGATATAAACACTTGTGTAAGTATATTTCAGAGAGCTTATGAAAATAACTTATGCTAATATGTGACTTGTGATGTGTTCGTAAGTTGTTTTCAGCTTATTTCAATGAATTCTCTGGAATACCTAATGAAAATGGATTAACCTTGTTTCTTATTCAATTTATGAAACCACTTGTACATGATAAGGACTTGATTAAGGGTGAATCTCAGTGAATGATGTACGTAGCTAGTTTGGTTACTTACTATAGGTGCGTTTGGAAGAACTTATTTACAGCTTATTTGGATTTATCTTATGATATAAGCACTCGTATAAGTGTTTGGGAGAGCTTATGAAAATAACTTGTGATGTATCTGGATGACGGATGTTGGGTTTAGCTTATTTCAATAAGCTCTAGTGATAACTTATAAGAAAATAGTATAACTATGTTACTTTTCAATTATATAAACAACTTATACATTATTACTTACATAAGAAGTAATTATTTCAATAAGTACTTAAGTAAGCTGTTTACCTTAATGCAACCTTATGGTGCCACTGTGATTTGGATGCAGATGCTTCGGCCTCTTTTCTTGTTGAATGTGATGACTAAATTTATTTGGTATGAAATGAAACAATTGGAGAACATTTTGGATTTTTCAACTTTTCCTTGAAGTTCAAGTGTGTACTTACTTATGTAGTTCAAAAACAAAAAAGATATTGATGTGTCTCCGAATTGCGTGTCCCTAGACACCTAGATAGTTCTCTGGATTAATGTGTTATACTTACAGGAATATTACTATTGTTGAATTAATTTCCTAAGGTGTTCAATGAATTCTTATTTCTAACAAAAATACTGTTTGTGTCTTTGTGAATATTATTTAAGGTTTACTTCCAGATATAGGAATATTTCCTGATGAAGGGCTGGTTATAGGCTTCACTTTATATTAATTGATTTGGATTTTGGGAGATGGCCTTGAACATGATTTTATTATTTTTCTTGAGGCTGTTTGTAGTTGCTAGCATTCATAGACTGCAGTCCACTCTATCTTGGCAATCATTTCCTTATCAATTGAATAAATGGTTTGGCGCGTGTGTGCAATTGGTAATCAATGAAATTGGCATTTTGTGATGGATTGTCACAGTTTTGGGCATGAACTTGGTTTTCTAGATATTTTACTGAGCTATTTGGACAGTTCATGCGCATCCTATAAAATCATAGGTTTAAGTTGGTTAGACTTTTTTTTGGTATGTGAATCCTTACATCAGATTATGAAATGAAATACTGTGACCGATATTGTTGAAATGAAATGCAACGGTAGAGCCCAATAACCTGACTTAGACAGGGTCTTAAAGATATTTTACTAAAATTCTTCGGACTAAACAATAAAAGAGTCAGGTATTCTGGTATTGACAATTTAACATTTGTTTTGATGAGTAGCAAATGCTGCGACCGATATTGTTTGTTTAATTTGATAATATGTTAAGAAGCTGAGATGGCTCAATATTTACACCTCGGGAGCCAAACAACTTAATTAAGGAATTGTATAATGTAATCTACTTACATTGATTGGTAATGGTATTTGTGAAATGCTCTTTTGAAGATGAAATGATATTCAAAGTGCAGTTTTGTTCTAACACCATTTACTTACCTAGCATTTAGAAAAGATCTAGTTATGGGCAGTTCGAATTGCAATGATTCATTATGCATAAGAGGTGTGCTTTCATACTGTCTGTTTGGATTTATAATCATATATTTACGCGATTGATTGTTAATTTTAATGGTGCAGGATATCTGATTCTTCTGTAGTATTTGAAAATGATATTGCAGTTTTTATTTATTTATTAATTTTTCTGTTTTAGGAGATATAATCTTGGAAAGGGTGATGAATGATGATATCTATATGAATAGAGTGCACCAGTTTTGAAGGAAAGATTGTTTACAAACTGCCATAGAGCTGCACGCTGGAAGGTTTTCAACCCTTGTGTACCCTGATAATATTAATAGGGAAGTTGATTAGAAAGAGTAATATTTTTGTATGGGTAACCTGCTATAAATTTTGGGGGCACTTTTAAATAATTTGCAGAACATTTCTGTAACTCATTTCATCCGAACATATACCTTTGGATGGAAATTAAATGTTAATAGTATGTTAAACTTAAGTGCACCTCCACTGAATTAGTCTAGACACGACCGATTAAAAACTACAAACGACATTAAAATAATTTGAGCAAGGGTTTCGCTGTCATTCTTGTTATTTCGGCGAGTTTATTATTTGTCATGTCTAATACGCACTGTGCTGTTAGAATTGCTCCTTAGACTCTCCAAAGTCTTGTTTTTGTGTTTCGATGAAAAATTTAAATATAGTAATTTTTTTTTGAAAAATTTTAAATATCTTGAAATGAAATAATTTGTTTGAATGAAGAATTTACAAGTAACTTGAAATATTTATGAAAAATTTTAAAATAGTAAAATTTTAAATTCTTTCAAAAAAAAAATAAGAATTTAAATTTTTTCATATTCTTTCTTTCTCATCTCACTTATATATATTTCATTTCTCTCTTATATCTTAATTATTGAACTTTCAAAAGTATTTTAAAATTACTAAATATTATTTAATATTAATTTTTAAAATTTTAAGTATTTAAAAATTGGTTAATATTTATTTTTATAAAATTTA